GTGTTGAGATGAGACATTTACCTGGAAGAAGTCTGCAAGAAAAGTAACATACAAAAGAGGAAGATAGAAGGCGTGGTAACAAACACTTGTGATCCCATACAACCTACAAGCAATTTTCATTTTTTAGTTTCTTGCGTTAAGAAGCAAGCAAAATCTGACCAATTACTCTTTTGACTGTGAGGCTTTTAAGATAAGGGTATACCATAATCCAAAATGAGCGCCGTTTGCTGCAAGAGCACATGCAAATAGGGAGAGTCCATTTAAGGCGAGCATGACAGTTATGTACTTGTAGAATGCAGGTCTTGCTGTGAATATGAAAAACATGGGATGGCAATGAGTAATAGAAGCCAGTGAACAACTATTGGCTTATTAAAACGTAAGGAGGATGGGAGTGATCGATGTATTTACCGGGTAATCTTTCTCTCAACTTAGAGTTGTACATGAAGAATATCATCCCATAAATGCCCGCAAGCAAGAGCTTGTGGATGACCCATAACCCCCATTTGACCTTTTGTATGTGTTCATTGTCGTCGATAAACAATGGTACTCCAAATCCAAAGAGATAAATTGCCTGAAAGGAAGAATGAAAACCTTGAAGGATTAAAGTGATTGTAAAATTGTAACTAGACAGAACAAGTTTGCGTATATCTACTGTAGTAGAAACTAGATCAGGCATACAACATGTCAATATAACTCAATAAAGTTTTCTCTATCTATCTTTCAGAAAGTATATGAGTTAATATCGAACAGTTATGAACACAATGGTACCTTGAGAAGGAAATCAAGACCTATAACAAGCCCCGAGATGAGGAAAGTTCGTGTTAATGCTTCAGCGCCACTTGCATAGTTTCCTTGGAATAGAAAGGCTACCAAGCTTACTTCCAGAAACAACGTTCCAGATGTTGTGAACAAAGTTAATAGATTCCAAATTACTTCTTTCCCAGGAGTACATTCCCATGCCTAAACACAAGAAAAGTAAATCAAAACCCAGAATTTGAAAACAGAGTGATTTATAGACACACGATCCTAAATGAAAAGGACTAAATCTGGAGTAAGTACATGAGCACGACTAAACCAGATGCCTAACACAAGATCCAGAAGCTATATGATCACCATTGTAGAAGACCAACGACCTTAAAGAGTTGTAAATTTTCTACCTTTACTAACCCTAAAACAGTGAAGCTTGATTCTTCAATCTAAGTTCTGATCTTTCACACATAACATACTCCTACAACATAGTACGATATACTTGGGAAATGAATTAAATCCAAGAAACTCAACGAACCTGAAGGCAACACCAAGCAAGATTGAGCAAGCTAACAAGCCAAAGACAACCGTAATAAGCAATCATAATGTAAGATCTCCGATTCGACAGCTTTGAACAGCTCTTCTTCGCCTCGTACGCTAAGTAAGCGACGAATAGAATTGATGCTAAAACCAGAACCGTGTTATGCAGAAACCCATGGCACTTTCCGACCCATCCTCCGATAAACCCTCCGGTGCCGCCTCCATATCCGGCATCCGTCGAATTAGGGCTTAGCCGTGGCAACAAGAAAGGTGACTCCGCGATCTCGCCGAGAACTCGCATTCCTTCAATTGGTACGACTCAGAATCCAATTTTTAATAGAAATCCCCAATCTCTCGATTCGAGATTATGATCGTATAATCTTTCTTTCTCCCGTCGACCAAATCCAGACAGAGAAGCAAACATTAGTAATTATACAAAAGTTACGGGTACTATTTATAATATAAGACAATATCGACGAGTGAAAGTTTTATAATTGATAAATAACTATCGATAAATATAATATATTATAGGGGAGGAAAGTATAAATAAGTAAAATGAAGAAACCCGTCTTCAATCCGACCGTTGAAAAGCCGCGAAACGACCGGATCGTTTGAGAGAAATATTCGGTCTCATAAATGGCGAATTTTCCTCTTTGATTTCTCGATCCAAAGTTCCGTTGAATCTAATTTCGCATGGGTTCGGTTTGATTTCACGCGTAAATGAGCTTCTTTTTCTTCGTTCTTCGCTGAAACAATCGTGCCCTGATTTTTGATTTCTGGATTTCACTTGCTGTGGTTTCCAAAATTTTCGAGATGGGTTTGTAGAAACAGAGATAATTGTTGGTAAAGTTTTGATCTTGATGTGAATTTTAAGTTTTAATCAATCGTAATTGATGTGATTATTATCATTCCTTTGTGTGTGTAGTTGACGATGAGAAACACGAGACCTGTTCATGTAAGGAATAAGAGTTCGGATCCTTCTTCACCGATGATGACGTCTCCATTGATGCATCGACGGTCAGGATCGAATGCTGGTCCAGGAGCATCGAATGCTAAGAAAGCTCAGACAAAAGCAGCTGCTCAGAGACTTGCTGCTGTAATGTCAAACCAAACAGGTGACGAAGAAGACAGTGATGATGACCTTTCCTTTGACTACAATGCTTCCGGAACAGGGAGCATCGGACTCGCTGCCGGAAGATCTCATCCTTCTCGCTCTCCAGTGGTAATAGAAACTCACAACAATCACTTTAAAAGGCAATGAGGGTTGGTTTTGTAATGAAAGTAATGTTTAGAGTTAGAGATGTTGTTGGTCTTTGGGTAGGATTTTTATGTGAATAGTGTGTTTTTTTTGGGTCAATGGATAGATTAAGAATCCTGTTGCAAGGCGACCACAAATGGCAACTCCACAGTTAGCTGATGAGGACAATGAAGACGATGATTTTTCAGTTGATTTATCGAGTAGTAGCAGACCGAGTATCGGACTTCCTGGTGGAAGAGCAATAAGACCACAATCTCCTGTCACGGTGAGTCTATTTATAAGTTAATTTGGCTTCAACTTTCATAAGCTAATTTCCTTTTGCTGTAGACTAGAATTGCGCCTCCGAGGCGTACACAACCAACAAATGAGGAAACTAAGAATGACGATGATGATGATGTTGTTTCGGTAGATTATACAATCGGTAGACCGAGTATTGGACTTGGAAGTGGAAGGGCAATGCGGCCACAAACTTCTATGGTATTGAACAATACTTGAAACTTGCTATTTATTGGTTTCGTCATTTTCATGTTTCTCGGAATTTCAACTTTAGTTTAACGTTTATTTGGAAAGTACAGAACAAAACTCAACCACAAGGGCGTCCATTGATGGCAATTCCTCAGCCAACTGATGATGAAAACGAAGATGATGAAGTTCCATATGCTTATACAAGCGGCATTCCAAGTGTAGGACTTGCTGGTGGAAGGGGAGCCCGGTCACGTTCTCCTTTGGTAATTTAGTTTATTAAACACAATTGATATGAAACCAGCTGTAGTTGTATCTCATTTTATGTGAGTCATGTTGCTAGCAGTGAAATTTCTGAAATCCTTGCTTCTTCGTGACTATGTTTCGGATGTTTTCTTTCTAGTTTTTGCTCGTGAAGCTTGACCTTTCGATTTCTGTGTACTGCAGACTAAAAACCCTCCATTGAGGCATCCACAAGCAATAGCTCAGCCACCAGCTAATGTAGATAGTGATGCTGATTATGATGAGTCGTATACTAGTAGCATGCCAAGCATAGGACTTGCAGGTGGACGCTCAATGAGACCTCGCACTCCTTTGGTAAATTTAGTTCGTAGCTATTCTGGTTTTGATACTGAGTGAATGTTTTGAGCCTCGAAGTGTTTTGACTCTTTTCTTTACAATTAGCATATCTATATTGTGGCGTTTACGTCTCTCTGAAACTTTGGTTTAATTGTTCATTAGTCAATTCGTACTAAGGAACAACCTCAGACCGGACTTCCAACTTCAGGTAGCCGATACGAGGATTCCACAGAATCTTCAGCTCTTCCAACTCAGACAACCAACCAATTGGACCAACCTCCATCAGCTCGTTCTGTAATCTCTAACAAATCATCTCAGTCTCTCAGTACTATGGATCAACCTCCATCAGCTCGTTCATCTTTCAGCGGTCGTCCAATAAGGACAGTTCCTTTAATGCCATCTTCAGTGCCTATATCACTCAAACCAGTGACTCCTGCATTTCAATCCGAAACACCAACCAATCTTCGAAAAGATAAAAGGTAACTAAAGTTATTCATATCTTAGAGGACACTTCATTCACATTTGCCTACTCATTTATTACTTCCAGTGTGGTCTTAGTTTCAGTGGTTTCTGTCCATTAGTAGGTTTTCCATGGATATGGGAAGCTCGGGAAATTTGAGAGAGTTAGGCAGTCAACGTTCTACTTCAGCTTTGCAAGATGAGGTTTGACTTCTTTGGGAGCTGATAAGATAAATTTCATGAAATTTATTAACTATATAATTCACTCTATAAGTGCAAATGTGGAACTCATTTTTCTCCTGTGATATCTGAGTTCCTGACATTTCAGTGTTCGAGCTTTCCTAAACATTTCAGGCACTTTTATTCAAGAGGTTCCGTTTTCATTGCAGGTTGATATGCTACAAGAAGAAAATGAAAGTTTGTTGGAAAAGGTGATGCCAGTAAATTTTCACAGTTGGTGTCANTATGCATTAGTCACTAATTTTCACTTGAAGGCACCGTTTCCTGAAAAACATGCTCTTGATTTGTTACAATTAAGGAAAAATGAATTACATTGGAATTTTTTTATAATTCTCTATCTGAACAAGCCAAGTTAGATAATACTTGTACCATTTATTATAGCATATTCATATAGTGTTCGCATCCCATCCTAATTTGTGCATCCCCAGCTTCGACTTGCAGAAGATAAGTGTGAAGAAGCAGATGCAAGAGCTAAGCAACTTGAGAAACAGGTAAGCAGATGGTCTCTTATGCTTCACTATAGGCATAGAAGTCCCTTCTTACATACTGTAAACTCAAAGCTGCTTTTTATCAGGTTGAAATCCTTGGAGAAGGTGTTACTATGGACGCACGTCTTTTAAGCAGGCAAGCTTCAGTTCTATGCAACTTTTGGATGATAACCTTTGATAAATTTCTAATTCTCTGAATTTTGTTTCTTGCTTCAGAAAAGAGGCAGCTCTGCAACAGAGAGAGGTCAGTGCTGTTCCTGTGCTACGTGCTTCTCTTACATTACTAATGGATAATTGCAAATTATTAGCATAATCCATAGAACCACTTTCTATTCAGGCTGCTTTGAAAGTTGCATCACAAACTCATGGAGGAAAGAGGGGAGATATTTCAGCTCTTCACACAGAAGCTGAGGTACTTCAAGTTCTAAATCTTTTGTCTTTCATACTGGTATCTCAAGTGATGATTTCTATCTTGGATTGGGTTTAGATTGCTAGGGAGGAGGCAGCATCTTCTTTAGAGCAGCTCCATGAAGTTGAATCAGAGCTTAACTCTCTTAAGACCGTTACCAAGAGATTGATATTGACTCAAGAAGAGATGGTACACCATTGCTAACAAATTCTTATACTTTTTGTTTCCGTCTAGTGTTTTTTTTTTTTTTAAGTCGATAGCTTCTCTCATCTATAGCTATTTAATCTTAGGAAGAGGTTGTTCTGAAGAGATGCTGGCTTTCACGTTATTGGGGTTTATGCGTTCGACATGGTAGTAACTTTGCTCTTATACCTTGCTTCTAGTGTTAAAGCTGCTACTGAAAATTGTATATAATGGTTTTAAAGTTTGGTGAAAAAATGTTATGGTAGGTATTCAAGCTGATATTGCAGGGGCAAAACATGAATACTGGTCTTCATTTGCACCTCTTCCTCTAGAGATTGTTCTGTCTGCAGGACAAAGAGCTAGGGACGGTGTTTCACGATGTAAGTTTTAATCCTCTGCTGGCTGTATAAATTTGACCGGAAAATGTTAAGAAAGTATTTTGATATCCCTTGTCTTTTGCACCAAGCAGCTAACAACACTTATGGAGAAAGAGAAAAATCATTGCAAAATCTGCAAGAAATTTCCGGGGAAGGAAATCTCGAAAGCATGTTATGGGTCGAGAAAGGTTTGCGCGAACAAGCTTCCTTAAAGGTGAAATAACTTAACATGAGAACTCTGTTATTAGAGATGGTTGTTCAAGAGACGAATGTGTAAGC